TCAAGCAAGAATCAGCCGCGTCTCCGAAGGCCGTCGGGTCAGGCTGGGCTGGGCTGGGCTGGGCTGGGCTGGACGCCCCGACGCGACTTCCGCCGTTTCGGCTGCTTGCCCCTGACTGCACCTGGTGGGTTCGGGTGAGTTCGTGCTTCTTCGGCTTGGGCCGGCCCTTCTTAGCCGGGTTCCGGGGGCGGGAGCGGCGGCAGGGGCCGGTGTATTCATCTTCATTCGGTCTCACTCGGGGAAACTTGGCTGCCTTCGGCCTGCTCCGCTTGCCTGCTTCGGGGTCCGTGAAGTCTCGCCAGGCTGAGCGTGGCGGGGATGCATGGCGCTCTGGGGGGCCGGGGGACTCTGAACTCGCCCTGCTCAGGGGAGGCCTGCGGGATGACCCGCTAATCCTCTCCCTCACCTCTTCTCAGAGGTTACAAGAAGACGTGTATAGTCACGAACAGAGAAAATGAGGCTAGGAGTAGCCGTGGGGGTGCTGGGTTCGAATCCCATCCCAGGCAGTAAGGGTTACAGCGGGCCTGGATTTTCCAGGGCGTAGGGAGTCTGTTTTTCTTTCTGTTCTAAACTTAGCCTGGCCGGCGGGGTCAGGGGTGGCTTCCATGACGCGCACAGCCACCCTGGCTGTGGGAACGTGCGGCTGCCCCCTGGCCAGACGGGGAAACTGAGGCGGGAGACCCAGCGGCCTCAGGCCTCAGAACTGAGCTGGGGTCCAGCCTGCGGCAGACGCCCCCCCAGCCTAACGTTCATGTCCCCTGGGTGCCTCCCGGATGCCCCTATGCACTGGCAGGGTGTAGTCCTGCCCGCGCCCCCCATCTGCCACCGTCTGGCTGTGTGACCCTCTTCTGTTCCTCAGTTTCCCTTTGGGCCCAGCAGGGAGCAGAGAGCACCGGGACAGATGGGGAAACAGAGGCACAAAGACAACTGCCACTGCCAAGAAGAGGAAACTGAGGCCCAGAGTTATTTGCCACCGCCAGAGTGTGAGTTTGACACCAAATGAATTCAGTGCCAGCCCCGGCCTAAGGCCCCTAAGCTCACCGCTGCTTCCGGAAGGGCAGGACTTGAACCCAGGGCCACAGCCTCCCCCTCACATCGGGAAG